GAATCCTCGAATCTATCCACCAAACACTTTCACTCGAAATGGAAGTAAACTTTCTACAACGTCGAAGTGTTCTCTGGGCTTCGGTAGGGTGCCAACGAGGGGACCGAACTGGCCGGACATGGCTTACGTCCAGGCGGTTGGTTCGAACTCAGGTCTGGGGAATTTCGACGGTGAAGACGAACTCGTAGGTTGCCAAGTCTTTGGTGGAATGTGTGACGATGTTTGATCTCGTGAGAAGCGATATCACCCGACGTCTCAAGGGTCAACGATGAGTGTGCTACAGCCAGAGACCTGTACGTTGACCGGCCTGTCGTCATGAGGGAAATGTCACTTGAAGAGTTCTTAGGCTAAGAAATATAATGGCTTATCCCAAAGGAGGACTAAATGCCTCGGGGACACTCGGGCTCTTATGAGCAACCATTATCTTTGAACTTGTAGATATTGTACGCTGCCAAATGTGCTATTGGAATGAAGATTCCTATCACTTCAAATCTAGTCTCCCGACCACTCAGTTCTCAGCATCAATGAAGCAATATGCTCAGGCCAAAGTTCACAAACGTATACAATCATGTTGGTGTGCATCTGGTAGTCTTCACAAGGTTCAACTCTGCCGGTTACAATTTTCAACAGGATCATCACACCTTTCCGGTGCCAAATTGACTTACTCTGACTGGCTGATTGATGGAAAAACTTTCATTTTGTATGAAAGTAGGTTAAGAAGAAATTCGAAGGTCGATCGCACCAGGACACTACGGCCGATTCCCATATTGTGCAAGAATGAAATTGTGACGTATAATTGTGAAAGTAAAATACTGCTCCCACATTCGATCCACACTCGATCTCGTTCCTTGTCCCAAGCGAAGTTGGAACTTAGTTACAAGTTGCTACATTACTTACTCTAGGCTGCCCGGGGGGATGGAAAAGTTTGTAGCTAAACTTCCCACAGAGAAACGATGCAATTGCATTTGCCCTATCATTGCCCCATTCCGTCACAAAAGCACTGTTTCCAGTGGATTTCACTGAGCATGTGTGATTTTAAAGACAAAATAGTCCACTCTTAAGTTACACTTTTATTGAGATAGTCTTGTAATTTTGAGGAAACCTGGTTTTTATGGGACCCCTTGATGGATTTATATGATTCAACTTTCCATTGCGGTGAAATCGTGCTTTGCTTTCGTCCGTATTTTGACAAGCATTGTCAAAACGAGAAATTGTAATTCACGAAAAGCACACCATATAAACAAAGCTCAATGATAGTTACTCGCATTGACGATGTCTGTCAAATGAGAGACGAAAGCCCAGCACTGATGCATTGGAGTCATAGAACGGTGAGGCGAGGCCTTCTTCGCACACTTCAGAAGAGTAGAATGAATTTGTTTAATCAATTGCACTTCGAAAGTACCTAGAAGCCTCTAAACTGTCTTATCCTCCCATCAGCAGAACCACCGGGGCTTGAACTGTGAACGGGTAGGATAAAGGGCAATAGGCTGTTACCCTCAAAACAGCAATACCACAATCGCTTTTATTGTTTCTAGACAAGCATGAATTTCAGAGTAAAACAAGTCCTACACAATTCAAATTCTTTTTCAGGCTACAATGACTTTTAAATTCCGCCGGTGGATTCAATTTAGCCACTAAAGATAGACCAAAATGGTTGTAAATAACTTGATTTTATTCTCAAAATTATACAGCTTAGATGACTAATGGTTGCTTATAAATCTTTACACACATACAGTGCCCATCTTTTGTCAAAATTAAACCTAGATGGACGAAAGCTCAATAAGAGTTATAGTCGCTCTGTGACAAATGACTAAAACCAACATACTATGAATATAACTGATGTAGTCGATTAAAATGGCAAAAGGCAAGTTTGCCTCATCAACAATCTCATTACGTAGAGAAGATTCAGCTATCACTCCTTCCTCACCTTGCGTGGCCTATGACGACTTGAATTCCTACTCAGGTTAATCTTTGGATGGTAATGCAACCCATTAGGGATACGGGGAATTTTATTGTTTTTAAATAAATGACACGGCAACCTTATGTGCTCATCAGATGCCAATCAACTAGTTGAGCTATGCAAACCTATGCTGCCCTAAAGCAGTGATAAATAAACTACCGTCAGCAGGTAAATCTCCTCCCTCATCATTTATTGGAGAATTTCGTGTCGATAGGCAGCTTCACACTTGTCATTTAACCCGGTACACTACTGAGTGAGTAGTCAGTAATGGTTTTTTAGTTTATCAGATTTCTTACTTTAAACGCCATGCTGAGGGTGCCGAGGTCGAAATTTTAGTCAAGCTTGAATAAGAACGGCTCTTTCAGATGCAAGTCAAAGTGAAATCCAAAGCAAAAATAAAGGCTTTTATTCATTTTATCGTGAGCAGTTGACAATTTATTATTATTAATGAGTATTTTCCTATTTGTTTGGAGATCGCGGGTTACAGTGGCAAATGCCCAAATGTCCACAAGTGGACTCGGATTATCGGATCCGGTCTGTTTACATGAGGCACTAAACCAAGATTTTGGCTGAAATTGTGACGAAATGGTATTTTTCGAACTATGAAGTGACAAAAGACTGTCCCTTACTTATATCCCAGACGGTAGCACTATCTACAGCTTACATTATCTGGTATTGATGAGGTCTGGATAGATATCCCAGGGGGCAAGTGTGGTTCTGCGTCGCTCATCAAAGAAGTGAAAAGGAGGTCAGAACATGTTGGAGAGACTGGCCAGGAAGGATGCCTACAGTTAAGTACACAGAGGTCTCGCACAATCGGGAATGTATGTGTTTCCTTTGTTCTTGTTCTGGCCAGATGAATGCGTCTTTGTCATAGTAGACTTGATGGTACAGCCCAACACATTACCATTTGTGTGTACATACA